CAAAAGCATTGCAGGTTCGATTCCTGTTGAGAACATATCCCTAGGTTGCGGGTTCAATCCCAGTCAAGGTGTGTACAGGAGACAACTGATCAATGTTTTTCATTGCCCTTCCTCTCTCTCTAAAAATCAATAGAAACAGCATATCCTCAGGTGAGGATTAAAAGAGAAATGCAGTGCTGCTTTCTTGGGTAATTAAAAAATAAAACAGTTCTTTTCAGAAAATTAAAAGGTCAAACTTCTATTATATTTTTGAAAAGTTTATTTGTAGCATAAGAAGGATAGTATAATAATTAATAAACTGGGAGCTGCTTTTTTATTTCTTCAGTTTTATTGCTGATAAAAATGCAGAAAACAACGGATAAAATCTCGGTTTATATAACTAGAATGATAGAGGCATAAGTGTGAAATGGAGAAGTATAATTTAAAAAAACATAAAACAAAACAAAACATGCTAGAGAATGGAGGCTTAATTAGAATGTAATCTCTGATAAGCTTCATTGACCAAATCAGCTCATAGGTGACTGATCCTTAGTGTCCAGGTATTAAGATAGTCTCTGTAATTGCTAGCATATCATAGCTAGGTTACCATTAAGCCTACTATGCACATTAAAAATCATATCTTCTGCTTCTGGGCCCCAAAGAGTGGTGGGTAGTATTTAAATATTTAGTCTGAAAAAGTGAATAAGAGAAGGGTGAGATAAATACCATAAAAAGACACTACAATGACTTTCAGTAAGCTTATGTCTGTAAGGCGATTTAATTTACACATGGCAATAACAAATATTTTCTGAACTATTTTAGAAATATTTTTAGAAATTTGTTAACAGATTTTCAAATTCTAAGTCAGTCTTTCTCCAAAACTACATTTTACTGAATATTTTGCCCAAGCTTTAATGTAATAAAGCTTTGAAATATCTTTATTTTTAACTATCTCTCTCCCCCTTCTTTTGCTGTCTTAAAACAATCTGGTACTAAATTCCAGCCCTAATTTTTCTTTAAAAAACATCCTTACACATTTTTGTACACTTCACAGAACACTTTGATTGCACAATGTCTGGCATCAGCCTGTTTTTATCTTGACTACCACATACTCATTCCAAACCTGTTTTTATTCTCACCACAACTCCGCTTTCTTATACCCAGTTCTGTGTATAAATCTTCCTTATTTTTGGTCCTAAAAGCTATGGTGTCGTTTCCTATTACATCATATTAAAAATTCTGGACTTTGGTTCACAGACGTTTACCAATATCCACTAACTTACCTGCTTTCCCTTTCTTTCAGCTCTCCACGTATCTTCTTCCCTGTCCTGAGGCAAACGTTTTTTTGTTTTTTTTCATACACCAGATGAACTTTTATTCTCAAACTAAATGTCATTCTCTTCCGTGTTCAGCAGACTATCATCTATCTTTCAGCTGAAAAGGACCAGAAATCCCAATGACTCCTAGATGCTCCTTCCAATACAGAATGCTAGGAATGGAGTTAGTAGTATTCATTTCCATTCCCTTCTTTATCTAGCAGGAATTATATTTTACTCTATTCACTTTGCTTACTGCTTCAGATATGCAGGCATTTGGGGTGAGAACACCACAGCATTATGGTGAAGTCCTTTCCTATGCCTGCTTAATCCTAAAGCCATCTTTCAGGTTGAAGTGCTGTAGTGGAAAATACAGAGGAGCATCTTTGTTCTAGAAATCTAGTGAGTGCTTATACCTTTTTACATCTTATAATTCATTGCTATGTACATTATCTCATTTGACTCGTAAGAATTGTGAGAGCTAGGGGTGCATCCTGTTTTAAGTGCGAGGGAACATGAAGCTCCAGTGTACTGCAATACTCAAGGGGACAGACTTTGGAATCAGGAAAAACTGAGTTTGAATTATTATTACAATGTTTATACCTGTGTGCCTTTGGGGAAACTATGAATATCTCTAAACCTAAAATCCTCACAAAAAGAGGACAGTAATCATTACATGATACACTACCTGTAAAGAGCATCGCATGTAAAGTGGATCACTTGGCACATGGCAAGTACTTAGCAAGTAGAAGCATGTTACCGGATTTGCCCAAGACACACTTTCAGAACATGCCTGCAAGGAACTGAAACCAAGATTTTGGACTGCAGACCTCATGCTTTGCCACTATCCCTGCTTCCTAACACACTGATTTAATTAAACAACTAACCTGATAGATGACCTTGGGCACAATACTTCATTGAGTCCGTTTACTCATCTGTAAACTGAGTCTTTTCAGACTTTCAGGGTCTATTCCAGATAAATTAGATTTTTTCCCCCCTGTAAGCTGAAGTTCAAGTGCGTAATATATTCAAGATCTGTAAAACCGTAAGCTGTGCACATTGCAATGAATTTTTTTCCTATATGCATATTTCGATCAATATTTAATTTTCTGGACACACTCAGCTGTTGCCTGTCTTTGGTCTGCGTACCAGCGACTCGTGAAGGAAAGACCCATGCTTAGCTTTATTTATTTATACCCACGCTTGTTCCCGAAAGGATTTAAGGCGGCGAGTGACACTAGGCATTCCCTAAGGATGTTACACCGTGCGAGTCATAAATACTCTTTTGACTAATCACCCGGCAGAAAAATCTCCGATGAGCGAGATGTTCACGAATGTCTTTCCCCCTTACTCTTAAAAGTAAAAACCAGTGCACTTCGTTACAAGTTCTGGGAGCATCCAGTGCAGGCTCCAGCCTCAGCCTTGACACGGTCCCACCAGCGGTGGACGGGTCACTCCAATGCCCTTCTCCAACTCGCCCCGGTCCTCGCCGCGCCGGTCCCGGCGGGACGGAGATCCCACCCCGCCCCTCCACTCGCTCTCGCCCCCAAGTTCCCTGATTGGAAAGGGGCCTGGAGAGCCCGGCTCCCGTTCCCACTGTATTGGCTGGCCCCGCTGTCAGTAATGCCGGCTTCCCGCCTTCCAGCCTAGCGCGTTGCTCGGACCCCTCGGTTTGGGCGACAAGCCGCTTACGTTTGCCTGAGCCGTGTTGCCGGAAAATATTGAAGAGATCACGGGTAAAAGTAAGATATTTTAATATCCACCAACCAAATAAATCCAGTGTTAAATCTTGGTTCCCCTATAGAGACCAGAGGGTGACCTAGAAGTGTTGGCCGAATCAAACAGAATTACTAGGGGCTGCCAGCTTCAACTGGAGCCACCCAGTAAGTTATGAACACAAGCCCCAGAGTCAGCAGGGACCTTCTGGTCTGAGTCCTATGAGGTGACCTGGGCGAGTGACCTCATTCCTCTAAACCTTGGTTTCCTCAGCTGTAAATATGGGGAGGACCTCATAGCATTGCTGTGGAGAATACGTGCTCAATTAAGTGTTTAGTGTAGTGCTTGGCAGACAGTGTTTGATAGAGGAAGCTGGCCTTATTTTAACAGCCAACAAGCACTTGCTACTTC